AAAACCAGTTCTACGAGGATCTGCATGCCCTCCTGGGGGCTGCACCGAGGTCGGACAAGCTGATTGTCCTTGGGGACTTCAACGCTCGTGTCGGCAGATAGGTCTTCATGGAGTCGGCGTCATAAATTTAAATGGGCTGATCCTTCTGCGAACCTGCGCCGAGCATGGCCTCATCCTGACAACCACCCTCTTTCGCCTCCCACGATATAAAGGCAACATGGATGCATCCGCGGGATCTAGAATGGCATATCCTGGACTATGTCCTCGTACGACGGCGTGACCAACAGGAGGTATTGGTGACAAAAGCGATCCCAAGTGCCGATGGACAGACCGACCATCGACTCGTCATCTCCAAGCTGAGAATCCGTCTTAAAACCCACAGGAGACCTCAGGGTAAGCGCCCACCGGGTAAATTGAACGTTGTTTCGTTGAATATGCCTGCCAATCGTCTGCTTTTCAGTAACGAGTTAAATGAAGGGTTGACTCACCTACCAAATACTGACGAAAACGTCTCCACGGAGTCCCGATGGTGCCAACTGCGGGACACTATCCAACTAGCCGCTAAACGTGTCCTTGGAAATGTACGTCGCAAACAACAGGACTGGTTTAGCGAGAATGACGCAGATATCAGCATCCTGCTAGATAACAAGAACCGCCTACACAAAGCCTACCTTGATCATCCTTCCGATGCCACGAAAACAACCTTCTATCAGAGTCACCGCTTTATACAACAGCGACTGCGGGAAATACAGGATGCCAGGATGGCTCAAAAGGCCGAGGAAATACAAAGCTACGTGGACCGAAATGACTGGAAAAACTTCTTTGCTGCGCTCAAAGCTGTCTACGGTCCCACAATGAAAAAAAGCACCCCTACTCAGCACTGACGGAGTTTCCTTAATCACTGAGAAGACACAGACAGTGAAGCGCTGGAGTGAATACTTCCAAAGCGTACTAAACCGTTCGTCCACCATTTCGGATGCTGCCATCGACCGCTTGCCTCAGGTAGAAATCAACTCTGACCTAAATATCCCACCCACGCCTGAGGAGACCATCAGAGCAGTGCAGGAATTATCCAGCGGGAAAGCAGCTGGACAATACGCGATCCCTGCTGAGGTTTTCAAATGCGGCGGTCATCAACGCGTATACCACCTCACTGCACTCTTTCAGAGGATATGGCATGAAGGGCGAGTACCCCAGGACTTCAAGGACGCCACAATCGTCCACCTCTACAAGCACAAATGAGATAGACGACTCTGCTACAATCACCGAGCTATCTCGCTGCTCAACCATGCAGAGAAGATCTTCGCACGTGTCCTCCTTTATCGCCTCAACAACCACCTGGAACAAGGGTTTCAAACGGAAAGCCAGTGTGGCTTCTGCCGCAATCGCGGCACCGCTGACATGATCTTTGCCGCGTGACAACTAAAGGAGAAGTGTCAGGAGATGTATACCCACCTTTACGCGACCTTCTTGGACTTGACTAAAGCCTTCGACACAGTGAACGGGGACGGGCTGTGGAAAGTCATGCATAAATTCGGCTGCCCAGATCACCTCATCCACATGGTACTTCAGCTCCACAACGGGATGAGGGCACGCGTAACTGAAGGCGGAACAGTATCCGAGGACTTCGCAGCGACAAACGGGTTGAGGCAAGGGTGTATCCTCGCGCCCATCCTCTTCAGCATCATGTTCTCTGCCATGCTGATAGAGGCCTGCCAAAATGAGAGCCCTGGTATTGGCATCACCTACAGAACTGACGGGCAGCTCTTTAAAGCCCGATGTATGGAGACGCCCACGCACGTCTCCAAGGCCATAGTCCACGACCTGCTCTTCGCGGATGAC